AAAATCCCATTAATATTAAAAATTTTACCCCCCCCCCCCGCAAGCGCCTGTCTTAAAAAGAAGGTACAGGTGTAATAAAGCAGTGTGACGCCCCGAACACCTCTGTCTTGTCCTGACTTCACCTTTTACCTTCTCATTGCTGCCCCGAAGGGGCGGGTGTCAAAATGGGACATTGCGACAGGGCAATGGCAGTTTACAGACCAAAGCCTAGAGACGGTTCTTAGCTTGGGTCTTAGGGAGAAAAGAAACAACTTCATTTATTGTCACTTTACTTTTCATTCCAGTCAAAATTAATGGATGTGTGTTACAACTGTTGAATATGGAAAGTATCAGAACCACATATTAGCATCACCGCCTTAGTAAAGAACTTTCCACCTCCTTTAAAGTGTTGTGTCCGGTATACTCGTAGGCCGACTTTCCCTTGTTCCCTTTTAACTGTAGATCCAGGAACTAGCTATCTTGAATGGGGAAACAATGATGTTTTAAGCCAAGCCATGGTGGTGCACGACTTTAATCCCAGCACTCGGGAGGCAGAGACGGGTGGACCGCCAGCCTGGTCTCCAGAGATACACAGAGAAACCCTATCACAAAAAAAAAAAAAAAAAAAAAAAAAAGGCTGATGTTTTAAGATATTTGTTATACTCCTGACATAGAAGGAAATCAATCTTCTCCCCTTCAACTTCAAGTTATTTTTGTTGTTGTTTGTTTTGTTTTTCGAGACAGGGTTTCTCTGGCTTTGGAGGCTGTCCTGGAACTTAATCTGTAGACCAGGCTGGCCTCGAACTCACAGAGATTCGCCTGCCTCTGCCTCGCAAGTGCTGGGACTAAAGGCATGCAGCATCATCCCCCGGGTCAACTTGAAGTTATTATTGACAGTTCTTTTCGAAATTTACTAATTTGTCATATCTTAAAGTAAAAATACTAAGCTGTGCTTGTGAGGTGTATTCACATGCTAATTGCCGTCATTGGTCTCCTTTTGACTCCATGTGTTACTCATTTAAAATACTTACATACAGAGTTTGGTACCTTCCCAGTTACAGGATGGATCACTTTGTCACAGTTCAACACTTATAACTCCTCATTTTCTTGACTGTGGCGTTGCTTATGCTTCTCAATATGTCTATACTACTTTCTCATCTTATTTTCCTCTGTTCAGACTGGGTAATGGATAAATTATATGGGTATGCTTTTTTCATTTTACATATATGTCATATCTCGGTCATTTTTTAATTTCCTTTTTGGTTAAAGAAATTGTTTTACTTAGAGTAGATGATAAAGGCATACCATATAAAAATTGACCTGCAGAAGCCAAATACAACAGTAATTGCTTGTAATTACATCACTTAGCAGGCTGAAGCAGGAGTGGGCAGGCAAGTCCCATGCCAGCATGGGCTACATATGAAGATTCTGTCTCAAATCAGTAGAGAATTAGATGTTGGTAATGGTTAGATCAAAAGTCATCATTTCTGAGACATTGCTTTACTAGGGGAAAAGAAATAGCTTCCATTAAAAATACGACCTTTTAGTTTAAGAATTTCTTTTTGGCCTGTTGAGCTAGTCAATTGGTAGAGTGCTTGGCATACAAGCTTGATCCCCTGAGTCTGATCCCTAGATCCTATGGGGAAAGCCAGGTATAGTTGCATGGGTTTATGATCCCAGTGCTGGGGAGAACAAACAGGCAGATTGTCTAGTCAGCCTCCTCACCGGTAAGTCCCAGGGAGAGACTGTCTAAAGCAAGGTGGAAAGGGTCCTAAGGAACATCTCAGATTAACCCTACTCTACAAGCATGCCTTGTGCACACAAATCCACACCCAGATTTCTTTTTGAGGTTTTGCTCATGTATGTTTAAAAGTTACTTTCACTTTAGAATATTTAAACCATAAGACAAAAATAATCAAATGTCATAGTATTTAATTAAAATAATTATTTTATATTTCATGAGCTATTCTATCATGTTAGAGAAATACTAACTTTTAAACTTAAATTTCTCTCATTTTTGCCACACTATCAAAATATTATTTCAGTATTTACAAAACATTTCAAAACCTGCTCTTGGTTGTTTGTTGTATCTCTTGTTATTTTTCATTTGTTATTTGTTTTTTACCTAATCTAATTTTATTGTTTTACAGATGGCAGAAGATTTTTTCATTTAGTGTCTGGTCTAAAATTGCAAGTTTTTGGAACAAAGCTTTTCTTACCATTATAATACTATTAATCGTTCTATTTTTAGGTAAGTACTAGATTCCGTCTTTGAATCCAGTTCTTTTTAAATAAATTATTCAGGTTTTCATTAAGTTGATGATATGATATCAATATATTGAAAGAAAATTATTTTATATATTGATATTAGGGCAGTTATAGCTATTTTGATACATATTTGGTACTATTTTACATACACAAATTTCAGGTGCAGTGCAGGGATTCTTAGCCTCTTTTAGGTTAGTTACTTTAAAGTTTAAATGTAATAAGTGCCCTTCTTTCCAGCTATAGCATTGTCCTGAGTGCCCAGGGGCTTGGCCTGTATGCAACAAAAGAATGGAATCCCTAGGCTCTTAAACGTTTCTTAGGGAAATGTGAATCTTCACTGAATCCTGACTATAAACAACAGCGTTGGGGGCTGCTGCAGATTTTTTTTAATACTAAGTGGTTGTTAGGTAGTATTGGGATTTTGCTCTCATTGTGATGGCAGTATTATAGGCCTGTTGTTAAGTATGGTTTTACTAAAGCATCGCCATTTTTGCTTTTGTCTATGGTCTTTGCCTGTTTCCACACAGAACTCCAGACTTTAGGATTGTAGCTGATAAGCTCTAAAAACATCCATTGCCTATCCCTTTGTCTAAAACATCTACTGTTTATCCCTTTGTTTAAAAAAAGAAAGTTATTAACAGTTTTTATGTAGGAATATGTCTTTAATCTAAGAAGATGCATACTGATATATTTAGGGGAAATATCAATGAGACTTTGGACGGAAAAATGTAGAACAAATATGACAGAAACATTTTAGCACCAGCATACTAGCACAGGTAGAAAATTCCACCCCTTACTCTGTGTGATAGATGATAGACCAAACCCAAGAACAGAAAAGATGTTATTAACTTCAGTATTACATTCTATAAAGTGTGTATAAAATATAAATGGGTTTCTTGTTTAAATTTGAAAGAGTCACTCTTTTTAGTTTTTTTTTTTTTTATGTATACAACATTCTGCTTCCATGTATATCTGCACACCAGCAGAGGGCACCAGATCTCATTACGGATGGTCGTGAACCATCATGTGGTTGCTGGGAATTGAACTCAGAACCCTTGGAAGAGCAGTCGGTGCTCTTAACCTCGGAGCCATCTCTCCAGCCCTAGCTATTTTTTTTTTTTTTTGTTTTTTTTTTTGTTTGTTTTTTTGAGACAGGGTTTCTCTGTGATTTTTGGAGGCTGTCCTAGAGCTAGCTAGCGCTTGTAGACCAGACTGGTCTCGAACTCAACAGAAATCTGCCTGCCTCTGCCTCCCAAGTGCTGGGATTAAAGGTGTTCTTTTTAGCTTTTTTATTTGTTTGTTTTTTTCTTTTTTCAAAACAGGGTTTCTCTGTAGCTTTGGAGCTTGTCCTAGAACTCGCTCTGTCAACCAGGCTGGCCTCGAACTCACAGAGATCTGCCTGCCTCTGCCTCCCAAGTGCTGGGACTAAAGGTGTGCGCCACCACTGCTTGGCACCTCTTTAGCTTTTAATCTGCATTGCAAAATGCATTTTCCCTAGGAATCTTTGGTGCTACGGATTAAGTGGGTCTACTGGCATCAACTTGGAACCTTTATTACTGTGTTTATGTTTTATGTTCCAGATACCAACCTTTGAAATAGACTTGGCCTTCTTTATAAAATTAAGAGCATCTAGCTGGGTGGTGGTGGTGCACGCCTTTAATCCCAGCACTCGGGAGGCAGAGGCAGGGAGATATCTGTAGTTTAAGGCCAGCCTGGTCTACCAAGCAAGTTCCAGGACAACCTTCAAAGCAATAAGTTTGAGGCCAGCCTGGTCTACCAAGCAAGTTCCAGGACAACCTTCAAAGCAATACAGAGAAACCCTGTCTCGAATAACCAAAAAAAAAAAAAATGAGATCGCATAGATCTCTGAGTTCCATGACAGCCAGGGCTACATAGTGAGACCCTGTCTCAAACCAACAATAACAGCAAACCAAGAAGGGAATCATATCAAGTTTTGAATGGATTTGTATCACATTCCTATAATATTGGGGCTAGTTAAGGCAGACAGATAAGACTTATCCCAACATGTGTCTTCATTTCAAGTGGACTATCACCTTCTTCAGTAAAATGATGTAATAATGTAGAATGAGTAGATTACTCAAACATAATTCATATCTTACTTTGGAACTTGTTTCCTTTTTCATGTAACTGTTATATAGTATTTATATTCCTCCAGCCAAGACTTGAGTATTTATCATATGTGTGTGTGTGTTACAGTAATAAATAACAGACATCAAAGTAGCAAACCCAAGAACATATGTCTTTCAACAGAAGTACATTCCAGAAATTAGAAAACAAACCAAAATAAATGAACTAAATAATATATTAGATAACATGTTGCAGAGAAAAGAATAATTTCAAGCATCAAATATATTTTATAAACACAAAGGATTGTAATGAAATCTGAAGCTTCACTCACAAGCAATTTAAAAAATATTGTTAGCAATTTAAGAATTACCTTGTGTATATTGCAACACAGCAACTATGCTTAATGGTATTAGAAATAAAGATTTTTCAGTAAAAGAAATTTCATGCAAATATAAGGTAATAAAATGAGCAAATGAGCCTCTTTTTTTAAAAATGTATTGTAGAATGCTTTGTTGGGTTTTGTTTTGGAATGATAGAAATGTGGCACTCTTAGAGATAGTAACTGGGGAACTATTGTGAAGTAAGTGCAGCATAGTCTGCCTCCCATTTTAAGCAGTCTATGCAAATAGACATTGCAGAGCAATGAAATGGTTCTGGTCTCAATTAAAGCAATAGTGAATATAATCGGATGCTGACACTTTAAGGGAGTTGGGATTATATCTGTTACTGACAGCAGGGTGAATTTTAGTCATGCGTAAAAGTAGAAAGAGTAAGAGATAATATTTCACCTTAGATCAAGATTTGAGGATGATAAGTAAGCCCTAGAGGGATGATTTTAAAATGCTACAGTAGTGATCCATAAATTGCCACTACTAGCCATCTTCAAGCACAGTACCCTCTCAGGTACTAAAGAGGGACATACAGAAAGAAAGCCATATCTAAAGTCCATTATTATAAAGGTGAATTATTCTACAACTACTTCTTGTTTAAAACCAAAGGTAATGTTCTCTCTCTTGTAATAGATGCTGTGAGAGAAGTAAGGAAGTATTCCTCCACTCAAGTCACTGAGAAGAGCTCAGCCGGCAGGCCTAGTGCCTATGAGCACACACAGATGAAGCTCTTTAGGTCCCAAAGGAATCTTTATATTTCAGGATTCTCATTATTTTTTTGGCTGTAAGTAAGAAGGTGTATAAGCATTGTTTTTAACACTCATAGAATTCTCTTTCTGGTTTTCTTTTTTTCCACTTACACCTTAGGTTTTTTGTTGTTGTTGTTGATGACATCTTCATAAAAGATTGTAGATGAATAATCAAATAACAATTTTTGTGCTGAGGAAGGCTGGAAACAGAAGACATGGCCTTCCCCAGGGAAGAGCACACCAATTGGTTATCCAGTGCCAAATATTCACCCCTCAAAACATACATACAGGTACCATTATATGGGCTGAACAGGTTATATTTACGAATATATATGTATATACATACCATAACAATTAGTAAAAAAGAAAGAGAAAAACCATAAATTTGAAGGGGAATAAGTAGAGGACTATGGGAGGGTTTGGAGAGAGGAAAGAGAAGGGAGAAATGTTGTAAATAGAAAGGGAAAAAAGTTACAACTTGTAGATCTGCTAGTTTCAAAGGGCCTTGAATGATGTGGTTGCTGAGTTTCTGGAACCTTCTCATACTGTTCTCCAATATACACACAATACATTCCATTCCCACTCTTCTTCACTATTCATTTTTTAAAAAATATATTTACTGAGTTTATCAGATATCTTTGTCCTTCCTACTCTGAGTCAGCATACAAGATATTCTAGAGTACTCTTCCCTCCCCTTATCTTTATTTATTTATTTGTTTGTTTTCTAGTGGTTAAAGTAGAGTTTTGGGGGGGAGTTGTTTTTTTTGGTTTTGGTTTTGGTTTGGTTTTTTTGTTTTTTTGAGACAAGGTTTCTCTGTGTAGCTTGACCATTTTGATTTGAGCATCTTATGGAGCCCAGGTTGAGGAGGCAAGGACTACCAATCCATGCTCATGTCTTCTCAAGGCAATGTCAGCTGCATAAAGTAGAGTTTTTATCAGGGGTGAGGAAACATAAATACAGCAAGCACACAGAGATAAAGATTCCAAAAATTGAGGGCAGGTGGTTGGGGGGGTACCTTGGGAAGCTGAAGCACTGTTTCTTTTTGAGACAGGGTCTCATTATGTAGACCTGAGTGGACTCTTAAATTGCTATGTAAACCAAGCTGGCCTTGAACCCACAGAGATCTACTTACCTCTGCCTCTCAAGTGCTGGGATTAAAGGCAAACCTGAACATACCTGGCCTTCTCTTCTTTAACTTTTACTTATCCTTTAGCCCCTTTCTCAAAGAAACCCTGTGGCCACCATCTCTTCCAAAGTAAATTGGTATTTGCTAAAGTTCTTAGGCTGTGTCTAGACTTCAACTTCTGGTGCCTTTCGCAATTATAGTAAATACTATTCATAGAAGCCCAGTGTAGTGTTATACACCTTTAATACCAGCATTCAGGTGGCAGAGGCAGGCAGACCTCTATGAGTTCCAGGCCAGCCTGGTCTAAAAGGCAAGTTTCAGGACAGCTAAAACTGTTACATAGAAAAACCCTGTCTCAAAAAAAAAAAAAAAAATCATATAAAATATCTCCAATTAGAACTTGAAAGCAAAAACTGAGTTCATTTTCACCTATGGCCCCAATGCCTAACATAGTAGTTCCTTAGTAAATAGCTGCTGAAAAAATAATTGAAGAGATTCATTATAATATTCATTATAATTCATTATAATATAATAATACAGGGGGCTACCTGTAAACATGGCAATGTTCACTTTTTAGACTTAGCCACCTTTACAAAATGACCTTTAATATGCAAATTTCAAACTAGGCCGAGAGAGAGAGAGAGAGAGAGAGAGAGAGAGAGAGAGAGAGAGATTTTCTTGCTAGTCCTACAGTATCATCTAAAATTGCATTTTTCTCCTTTCGAATAAAGGCCTGTAGAAGAAAAATAAATGCCACTGTGTGCAGGAGGCCCTGAGATGCTGCCATGTCTTGTGTGTTCCAATGCTTGTCATCTAGCAGAGGATACAAAGGAGTGAGGCACAGCTTGTTTTAACTGCCAGGCTTGGATAGTAAAGAGGAAATGTTCTGTTTAAACATCATCTCCACCACCATTTCTCTAAACCTAGCAGGAGTCATTTGACAGTGGCTGTTTGTGTTGAAGTCAGAGTTCCTGATGATTAATCTAGTTATGCATTATTCTGAACTTCGTTTTTTTTCCTCAGAGTGTTGAGACGTCTGGTTTCGCTTATTACTCAGCTGGCAAAGGAAATATCAAACAAAGCAGTGCTTAAAATTCAAGCAGAAAATACCAATAAGGCTGCCAAGAAATTCATGGAAGAGAATGAAAAGCTAAAATGGGTATTTAATATTCTTTATAAATTGTTTAAATGTTGTTGATGTTCACAAGGAGTAATGTACTACTTTTTAGCATCAAAAATATTATTTTCAGCCGGGCATTGGTGGTGCACTCCTTTAATCCCAGCACGGGAGGCAGAGGCAGGCAGATCTCTGAGTTCAGCCTGGTCTACAGACCAAGTTCTAGGAAAGCCTCCAAAGCCACAGAGAAACCCTGTCTCAAGAAACCAAAAAAAAAAAAAAAAAAAAAAAAAAAAAATAGCATTTTCATGATTTAGCAGAAGAAAGTGGCACAAACCATAGCATTGTTCTATGGAATGATCACATTCATTTATTTATTTATTTGTTTATTTATTTATTTGCTGACTTAGAATTCCTGAGAAGCCCTGTGTAGATGAGGTAGGCCTTGAGCTAAGAGATCTGCCTGCCTCTGTCCCAAATGCTGGGATTCAAGTTGTCACCACCACCCAGCTGGTTACTGTTCTTTAGGGTTGCTTGCGCCCACACTACCCCTCAATACAAATTAATACCAGTGCTCTGGTTTCTGTGATTCCAGGAAGAAACTTTTTTTTTTTTAAAGATTTTATTTATTTATTATGTCTTCTGCCTGCATGCCAGCAGAGGACACCGGATTTCATTCAAGGTGGTTGTGAGCCACCATGTAGTTGCTGGGAATTGAATTCAGAACCTCTGGAAGAGCAGTCAGTACTCTTAACCACTGAACCATCACTCCAACCCTGCAGGAAGAAAAATTCTTGCAGTATGCTTTTTTTATTTTTTTGTAATTAAATTTTTTCTGTAACAAATTCATGCATGTATCTAGTGCATTCTATTTACTCCCTCCCTTTTCCCTCTTATCCCCTTACATGCATCTCAACTCCCCACCCCATGTCTCCTTTCCATGTTCATTTCTTTTTGTTTTGTTTTGTGGTGCAGAGTTTAACTAAGGCCTTCTGTGACCATGGATTTAGAACTATCTATTGTAGCTTGGTGGGCTCAACACAACTGATGACAATGACTTCTCCTATCTTCCAGAATCCCTCAGTAGTCAGTAGTTTAGCAGGGAGGGGTAGGGCACCATGACCACCCATGACTGTCTGCTGACAAGGGCCCAAAGAAAGTAACCCCAGCTACTGTGAGTTCAAGATTACAATGGGTGTGTCATACCCAGAATATGGCCATTGTTGGAATACAAATTTGAAGACCTTTATTACCATTAATTTTACTTCATAACTTGAATTAAATATTTATAATTCTTTGTACATATTTCTCTTTCACTTAAAGTATGATTTGTTGTATAGGAAGTAGTGAGAAATTATTGAGACAGCGTTGATGATTTCTCATAACTTTTAAAACCCTTTTTGCAAATCTTACGCTGCTTATATCTTTTGATATCCAGGGAATACGTCTGTGTTCTGAGGTTTGCCCTATCGACAAAAAAAATAGAAAAATGAAACACAAAATTAATTTGCATTTTAAAATCTGATGATCTCATAGATTCAGTGTTTCAGTTCATACAAATTCCATGTGTTTTACTAAATCTAATTCTTAGAAAAAAAGAGTCACTGGAACTACTAATAAACGAAACACATTTTCTTGAGGAAAGTGTTTTTAGAATCATACATTAAGATTATTTCTCAAAGCCAGGGTTGGTGGCCCACACCCTTAATTCCAGCACTTGGGAGGCAAAGGCAGGTGGATCTCTGAGTTCAAAGCCAGCCTGGTCTACAGAGTGAGTTCCAGGACAGCCAGAGCTACATAGAGAAACTCTGTCTGGAACTCCCCCCCCCCCCCCCAAAAAAAAAAAAAGATTCAAGTGTAGTCTTCACATTATACCAAGTTAATGTCATGTTCAGCAGTAGAGAGTGAACATCCTGAGCTTAGTCTTGAAGCTCAGCCTTTATAAGAAAAGCCTTGCCTACAAGCACTATCTACCATCCATTGTAAGCCAGGCAGCTATCAGGAGGCCAACAGGAAGAGTTCTGAGACCTCATAAAGTAGGCAAAACTCATTATCACCTACTCAAAACTTCTGTTTTATTTTTATGACATTTGCCTCACTTATATGGTAACAAAAAGGTAAGGAAATACCCCTTTCTATAGAAGCATAATTTTAAAAGTGCCTCTATGAATACATTATTAGTATGTTTTATGAAAACAGCATGTTAAAAACAGCTTTCTTGTTTTTAAAAAATTATTGCCATGTATGTATGATGTATGGAGAGGGCATGCTTGCCACAGTCCATGTGTAGAAATCAGAGGAAAACTGTGGGGAATTGGTTCTCCCTTCTATCATCACATGAGTTACGGGGGTTGGACTAAGGTCCCTAGGCTCACATAGACAAGTGCTTTTACCCACTGAGCCATCTCACCAACCTTTGTTCAGTTTTGAAAAAGCATTGGCCCACTGATGTCTTCTATACTTCCTCTTACAGTAATATTGTTCTCTAGAAATCAAGATGTAAGGATGAACTGCATTAAAAAGCTAGTACTAAGTACCTTTTTGCTTTTTTGCAAGGGAGATGTTTGTTTCAGCAGCACAATCAATTTCATTTTGTACTTTAATATTTGCTTGATTTTCTACCTTTTGATCTCATTTCACAATGGTAAAATCAAAACCTTGTATATGTTGATTAAATTCAAAAGCCCCAGCTTTGTATTTATGAGACAGCTTTCATCTATCTCTATTGCTTTGAAATTGTGCACAACAGCTTAGAGTAGTGAATTATAGCTATTGTTGAGGCACACCTATGCCCTTTTAGTTGTTTTCCTCTTATTCTTGATCTATAAGCAGACAGTATTTTTACACAGTTTTGATGACACAACTTTCCCGTATGCAGCAGACCAATAGGGTTAATTTAGCCTGTCCTTCTAAGCATCACTTTGGAATGATTTTCAAAGCCAGTCCCTCAGGGTAGGGAGTTTATTACCTGCATGCTGGTTCCTGGGCCTCCCATAATTTCATCTTTTTTTATGGTTCCCTGCTTGCTGTAAAGCTCTGACCCAATCCTAGACAATCAGATATGCTATATTAAAGCTAGTATACAGTGAGAAGGAAATTTGTGGACTGGATAAATCCTGGATATACTCAGAGTATAACTTATAGACTGATAAAGTGATCAAAAATAGGTGAGGACGTAAAAACAGTGCTTTTATTTCATGGTATTTCCTGTGGGCTTTGAAATGTTAGTGAAAGAATGATAAAATTGCTTAAAAATGCCTCTTTATTCTGTAGATGAAAAATATTATCTAGCAAAAAAACAAACACTCCTGAGCTTCATAGACTTTCAATTGGTGCTAATTTCAGCACTATAGTAATTTACAGTGTGACCTAGGGCAACTCTCCTCATAGGTTCTGAATTTCAAGGTTCTGTGACTATAAATAATAGTTAATGCTATGCCAAATGTTACTTCAGTTGTTCACAGTAAGATATTAACTCTTAATTCTTGAACAATCCCATGAGGTTTGTATTGTCTGCATTTTATAGCTGAGAAAACAGGGAGAGAAAGGATAATAGTAAAAATAAATGATACAGTTCAGGAAGTTTGAGGCCATGCAGCCTGACTTTAGTACCCACATTTACAACCACGTATTTTGTCCCCTCAACTCCTATAATGTTCTGTAAAAGATGATGCCAGTTTGGTGCCCAAGACTATTTCTCTTCTAATAATTCAATTGAAGAAATGGAAGTTAACTTTTGTTTCTCAAGGCAGATTCTCTTTAAATAGCCAGAGCTGGTCTTGAAATCACAATATTCAGGGTGGAGAGATGGTTCAGAGGTTAAGAACACTTGGCTGCCCTTCCACAGGACCCTGAATTCCGTTGCCAGACCCTACTCTCGAACAGCTATCTGTAACTCTAGTTCCAGGGATCTGATGCCTCCATGGGAGCCAGACACACATGGTACACACACTGACATACAATACATGCAGGCAAAATACACATACACATAAAAATAAGTACAACTTAAAAAGAAAGAAAGAAAAAGAAGAATGAAGTCACCGTCCTCCTGCCTCAGCTTGTCATTGAAATACTGGTGATTTAGATGTGAGCCTCCATGCCTTGCTGTCAGTTAATTTTAACTCAATTGCTTTAAAATGGCAGCAATGACCTTTACTTCTCTTCTTCCCGGGGTGCATGAGAGTGGGTGGGCCAGTGAAGACATATGTTCCTGCTGTAGCTGGGAGCTGTTGAGTTGCAGACTCCAGAGCACTTGGTCTTTCTCCAACATGAAATTAGGGATAATAAATTGGAGCAGCTTTACAGGTGCAGTAATGAAAGTTTATTTACAAGACTGCCACAAATCCAGTCTTTCCAAGTCGGCGGCATAAATAATTCAAGCAGTCACTGCAAACATTCCTTAAGCTTAGTGGTTGCTTTTCAGTTTTGGTAATCACCCCCAGTGCAGTAATCCTGTGTAGTGAGCTTTGAGCTTTTAAATCTGCTCTGACTTTACAAATGTAGATCTTCTTTTCTAGGCTAAAATTGTTTTGAACTTGAAGGAAGCAACAAATTAAAAGAAGCTTAGAGAAATAATCATCCTGCTATTTTAGAGGCAAGTTTTTTTTGTTTTTTGTTTTTTTTTTATTCTAAAAGGTCTGATACTCTCTCCATTTCAGAGTATGCTCCAAGCCTCTGATCTCTTAAGAGCTATTAGAGAGTATGTTCACTGGAACCTTAATGTCACCTCTGAGCCACCTACACCTATCCTTCTCCAACATTCCAGCATGGTAGTGCCATACTTGTTCTTGGTCCAGCCTTGTGCTCCTGCTTTTGCTTTCCTCCAGGCGAAAGTTACCAAAGAAAGAGTATAGACCATGTTTCTCTTACATTTTGTCTCTTAACGTCTTTCATGCTAAAATGTTTGCATCTACTCATTGCTCACTAGATTTTGTGAGTTTTGTCTGTTAAATATATCCCTCTGGTGTAGAAATTCTTTTTTGTTTTTTCTTTTTCTTTTTTCTTCTTTTAGTTTTTCAAGACAGGGTTTCTCTGTGTAGCTTTGGAGCCTATTCTGGCACTCACTTTGTGACCATGCTGGCCTTGAACTCACAGAGATCTGCCTGCCTCTCCCTCCCAAGTCCTGAGATTAAAGGCGCACACCACCAACATCCGGCTTGTGTAGAAATTCTTAAATCACCATGTTTTCCTAACCATGGAAGCCATCAGAATTAAGCTTCTGCCACTATGTTTAGTCTACTAGCCCATGCCTGTGAATACATAAATTTATTTACTATTTATTTTGTTGTGTGTGTGTTGCGGAGAGGGATACTAGTCCTTGTGCATGTGTGACAACCTCAGGTGTCATTCTTCAGGTACTGTTAACTTGGTCTTTTGAGACAAGATCTCTGATTGACCTGGAAGCTCCTGGAGTGGGCTAGGCTGATTGGCCAAGAAGCTTTAGGGTTCCTCCTCTCTCTGTCTCCCCACTGTTATGATTGTAGTAGGCTGGCTTCACCATGCCTGGTTTCTTACGTGGGTTATGGAATCAAACTCAGTGTGATAACCACTTTATTGATTGAGCTATATCATCTTTATTTTCAAAATAGTTTTAAAATACAATTTATCTTTCTTTACAACTTACGTATTTCATATTTCTTTTAATCTGCTTCTAGTTTCTAGTAACAGTGATGATTTCTATATAAGCATGCAAGATTGGAAATTTTTATTTTACAATGTTTGTCACTTATTTTACTATTCAGATCTTTATTGTTTTACCTATAAACGACAAGCTACAAACATTGTTGGATCCAAAATTGATTTTGAAATATAAAGAGGAATTTAAATGATAACTAAACTAAAAAACTAGTTTGGTAGTGCCCTAGAGATCACCCTGCCATTTTCCATTTTCTCATCTTATCCTGGCAACATTATACTCTTACATACGTGTTTGTGTAAAAATAGTCTTGAGTAGGCAAGACAGTGCAGTTATGATGATTTGTACAGCTAATATCAAACCCAGAACTGATTTTTGGTTTTTCGAAACGGTTTCTCTGTGGCTTTGGAGGTTGTCCTGGAACTAGCTCTTGTAGACCAGGCTGGTCTCGAACGCACAGAGATCCGCCTGCCTCTGCCTCCCGAGTGCTGGAATTAAAGGCGTGCGCCACCACTGCCCGGCCAGAACTGATTTTTTTTTTTTTTACATTAAATGTATATCACATCCTTAATTGAGGGAGGCAATCTGAATATATATATAATTATGCTTTCAAAATTAATTATATACTTATAGCCCTATAAGAAATTCTTTCTTTCATTTCAGAAATATCATCTATCATAATAACAAATCATTTTAAATAATATTTTTAAGTTGTATGTTCATGTGTGTCTCTCTGTGTGATTATATGCATGTGAGTATAGTTGCCCACAGGAGTCAGAGGCAATGGATTTCCCTGGAGCTAGATTTACAGGGGTTGTTGTTCCAGAATTTTTCTTTTAGGGCCACCAACCAGCTTCCGAATCATGACATGGAGACTTACTAGTTTTGGATGCTCAACTAGCTTAGGCTGGTTTCTAGCTAGTTCTTTTAACTTAAATGAACCTGTTTCTCTTTCTCTACCTTTTGCCTCAGGGCTTTTTACTTTCCTTCTTTATATCTTACTTTCCGTGTTCTCATTCCCTGGCTGGCCCCACATGCACATCCCCCTCATGCTCTCCTCCTCTCATTCCTCTTCTCTGGAGCCTAGATTTCTACTCCTATTTATTCTCTCTGCTCCCCAGCCCCAGGCGGGGGCTATTGACCTTTCTCTGCCTAGCTGTTGACCATTCATCTCTTTATTAGACCAATCTAATAGACAGGCAAGGTGAAACAGATGCAACACAGCTTTACATAATTAATACTTTCATGCATCATTACCAAAGGCAGCATAAACAAATGCAGCACGCCTTTACCCAGGTAAAGTCATATCTGCAGCATAAACAAATGTAACACATCTTTGCCTAGTTAGAATAATATTCCACAACAGGTTGTGAGCTGTCTGACATGGATGCTGGAACCAAACTCAGATCCTCTAGAAAAATAGTGTATTTAACAGCTGAGCTCTCTCCAGCTCCACAAAATCAATTTTGTGTGTTTGCTTACTATCAGATTCCTATTAGCAATAGCACTTTATAAAAAAATTATTAAATACTTAAAAAGACAAATTAATAAAGGCCAATAATTTTAATTTACTCAAAAAAATCCAACTATTGCAATGTAAGCTTATTTCTTCCTATAACTCTTTTATGATAGGTACTAAAAAACAATGGCAAGGATGAAGAACAAATTTTGGAAACTGAAAATAAAAAGCTAGTAGAAGACCAGGAGAAACTGAAAACTGAATTGAAGAAGGCTTCAGATGGTAATTTTATGTGCATGTGGAAAGGGGGAAGGACTAGCAGATATTTTATGCTGTCACATAAGCCTCACTGTTTTACCTTAAACAAAACTAATGGCTAAATGCCCTCTGGCCAAGACTGATAATGACCTCTTTATAAATTTCTGTTCAAATATGAGATTAAAACATTGTGCCAAGAGAAACATGTTCTGTTATGCCGAAAAACATGTAGGTGTTTCAGATCTGTGTTGTAAATACAAATGTCATTACCTCAGCAAAAGAGCTATGGGCTTGAAAACTTTCTTGTAAACCTATTATTGTAAAATGAGTTACATATTTTTGTCATCATGTATTTCTTCTTTTATAGAAGTAATCACAAGGAGACAGCCTTGGCAGAATAATATGTATCTTATCTTAAGCCCTAATATTTCCAACACACTAAATTTAAATTTTTAAAAAATTTTTTGAAAAAGACAAAAGGTCTTTTTCAGATATCAGCTGAGAAATTGAGACTTTGAGCCAACGTACATTGCATTGTAGATTCCAAGTGGGGCACCCTGAATCTAAGTCGATGAAGATAACTGCTTCTGCACTTAAAAAGTTTTGATTGCTCTTAGTGTGTGCTTGCTACATAACTTAGTAAAGTATATATGTCGAATCCATTGTCATTCTGAAAACAATCTTTGAGTATGTGTAGCTTTACCCATGGCAGTGTATCTGCATGTGGACACATAATGCTTGATGTTGATCAGACACAAGGAAACCTATTAGGAATTCATGGTTAAGGTGATGATGGATGAATGCATATGTCTTCCACAATTTCAGATCTCTTTACTTTAAGTTGAAGGATAGGATTCAGTGACTAAATCAAAGACCTACAGTTGCTCTCAGTGTAATAGAACTTCTCTGAAATATAACTTCCTATTATTAAATATCTCTTTACATTATTTGGATGGGATTTATTTCATGAAGATATGTTTGAATTTTAAATTGAAATTCCAAATGTAAAAGCTAATTCTATAAACAAAAAGCCAGATTAGGACATTTCATGTGATAAAAAAAAATCTTTAGTCATTTTACCTTTTTTTTTGAGGGGGGTGGTTCGAGACAGAGTTTCTCTGTGGCTTTGGAGGTTGTCCTGGAACTAGCTCTTGTAGACCAGGCTGGTCTTGAACTCACAGAGATCTGCCTGCCTCTGCCTCCCAAGTGCTGGGATTAAAGGCATGCGCCACCAATGCCCGGCCCACTTTACCTTTTATTTATTTATTTATTTATTTATTTTTTATGTGCATAGGTGTTTTGTCTTCATGTATGTCTGTGCACTACATATATACCTGGTGCCCTCAGAGGCCAGAAGACAGGGCGTCAGATCCTCTGGAAATGGAGTTCCTGACAGTTGTGAGTTGCCATGTGGGTGCTGTGAACTGAACCCAGGTCCTCTGGAAAAGCAGCCAATGCTCTTAGCCACTGAGACATCTTATCAATCTCTACAATTTCTTATTTAAATGGTAAAATAAAAACAGCAAACAAAGGTAGTTTAGAATTAGTGAGTTAAAAATTCAAAGTACCCTTCAGGTTGTTTGGTATAGCCGCAAACTCAAACTCTCATTATAGTTTATATTGTTGCATATACTGTAATTCCAAAAGATTTAGACAAAGTCAAGAAAATTTAACATTTATATAAAAATTAATTTAATATTCTAGTAGTCTATTCTCTGCAATGGTGATTATACAATTATACACAATTATAGAATTATAATAATTATATTATTACAATTATAATATTATACAATTATAATACATACATACATATCTTCTGTTTATCAAGACAGGGTTTCTCTGTCTCTTTGGAGCCTGTCCTGGAACTCAATCTGTAGACCAGGCTGACCTTGAATTCACAAATATCTGCCCACCTCTGCCTCCCAAGTGCTGGGATCAAAGGCAAGTGTCACCACTGCCCAGCTTATCTTTTTTGTTTTTTTAATTTATAAGATGTTGATCTTTTAGAGAATGTAAGGATTTCAAAAGTACATTTAATTAGTAAAAATAGTTAGAAAACCTTTTTTATATCTGACATCTGATGAGGATCTCTTTTATGTTTGAGTAAGTAATATCAAATGTAAAGAAAAGAAAACAGAGGATGTAGCTCAGTTCATATAGTGTTTGCCTAATTATGCACAACACACTGTATTCACTCCCTGACACCTCCTAAACCAGTCATGGTGGTTCACTCAGAACTCAGGACATTGATGTAAAAGTGATCAGAAGTTCAAAGTCATTTTAACCCACAGAATGGATTTCAGACCAGCCTTAGCAGCATAAAACCATCTCAAACAATCTTTTTAATAAAGTGCTTGTCTAGCAAGGAGGAGGACCTGAAGCTGGGCATGGTAGTGCATGCCTTAAATCCCAGCACTTGGGAGGCAGAAGCAGACAGATCTCTGTGAATTTGAGGCCAGTCTGTTTACAGAGAGAGTTTCAAGACAAACAGAGCTACCTAGTGAGATTCTGTCTTGAAAACAAACAAAGATGAGACCTCAGTTCAATCCCTAGCAGCCACGTAAAAGCCAGTATGGTGAGAATCAACTGTAGTCAAAGCTGTAGGAAAACAAAGAAAGGAGGGTCTTTGGGGCTTGCTGACCAGCTAGGCTAGTTGATCAGTGAGCACCAGGTTCAGTGAAGAGAAAATGCCCATGCTGACCTCTTGGCTCCCATGTGTACACACCTACACATTTAAATGCACATACATTTAAATAAGTAAATAAGTGTAAGAAAAACAAGAAGATCTGGCAAGATGGTTCAGCAGTAAAAGTATTTGCTGCCACCACAGATTGCCAGAGATAGACCCCCAAACCCACATGGTAAAAGGCGAGAACCAGTTACATCATGTTGTCCTGTGACCTCCACACCTGTGCTTCCATGTGTTTTCTCTGTCTCTCTCTCTCCCCCCTCTCTCTCACTCTCTCATGCGCACGCTCTCTATCTCCTTGCTCTCCCACATTAAATAAAAATAAATAAATGTATTTTGCAAAGGCAAGAATAGATGGTATTCTTATCCTTTTCCAGTCAATTTAGTTTCCTCCTCTTTGCCTTTCAAAATTTACAATTCTGAGATATTTTGAGCTTTAATTTCTTTCTTTTTTTGGTTTTTTGTTTTTTTGGTTTTTTGTTTTTTGTTTTTGTTTTTTGAGACAGGGTTTCTCTGTGTAGCTTTGGAGCCTATCCTGGCACTCACTCTGGAGTCTGGAGACCAGGCTGGCCTCGAACTCACAGAGATCCACCTGCCTCTGCCTCCCGAGTGCTGGGATTAAAGGCGTGTGCCACCAATGCCCGGAGAGCTTTAATTTCTTAACCCTGACGTAAAACCAAACTCAACATTACTTCAGTATTTATTTAACAGAAAACTTGGGTGTTTAGAGAAAATGAACTCTTTAATAATATAGACAATGTATTTATAATCTGATAACAAGATATGCCAGTCCTGCCTGTGTTTGAAATGACTACTTTCAAAAAGAGTCAGGGTTGAAGTCAAAGCAGACTTTACCTGTTTGAGTGTGACCTGTTTGGTTTCTTCAAGAGGTGCAATATTTTATGAACACATTCCATTTACCTGGAATCCCTTTTTAGGTAGCGTTCTTAATAACCTTGAGAAACTCAAAAGTTCTGCTTCTAGAGATTTTTTTTTTTTTTTTTTTTGCTGTTTTTTTGACTTACACCAGACAAATTCATGCAGGTAAGACTAAGAAATTGTATCAGTTGATAGAATAAATTTTGTATGATTTTAACAATGCTTGACAGATTCATCAAATGCTCCTTTATTTTTAGAAATTGAGGATTTTAAGATGATATTGCTTAAGAACATTTTGGAATGATCTTTTATATTTGAAACCCAAGTAAAAGCAATGTCATTTTTATTTTATATAGTATGTTTTCTAAAGGAATTTTCTTAACTATTGTGCTTCTGTGATCCACCTTAAGGATTTTCTCCAAATTTTATTAGTGAAAAAAAAGTATTAAATATAAAGGTTTACTTAAACTAATATTAGCACCAAATTGGAAAAGTATCATTCTGTAGGCAATTATTTAAAATGTTCTGTCAGGGGCTGGAGAGATGGCTCAGCAGTTAAGAGCACTTGCTGCTCTTCCAGAGGACCCAAGTTTGATTCCCAGCACCCACATGGTAGTTCACAGTTGTGTGTAATTCCTAGGGATCCAATGCCATTTTCTGATATCTACATGCTCCTGCATGCACATAACATATTTACATACAATGAGGCACACACATAAAATATTTTTTTAAAGAACACTCTAAGAGTAGCTATAAATATTCCACCAATTTTTAATTCCTGGCTCAGATTTTGACCAGTTAGTAAGCTACTTCTGTGTTCTGCACAGTAATATACTAGATAGAGATCAGAAGAGAGCATGTATATCCCAAAGCACCCAATTTATACTCAAGACTACCTAGTCAGGTACAAGGATCTAGTCTGTCACTTTAATAATCCATTTAATAGTAAGTCAAGCCTGATATCCCAGTATGTTGAGTAATTGGGGAAGGGCATTGTCATGAAAAATCAGATACAAAGCATTAAGGGATTTATAAAGCTTACAAGCTTTCATATTAGAAATTGAACTATGTTGTAGAAAACTTGCTGTTCTGAAGACTGACTTAAAGACCGTTCCAGGATGCTTAGTAGTTCTTGTGCCTACAACTAAATCCCCCCAGTTTCTTTTTATAGCTAGAGGAAGCATGCATCACTCAAATAGTAAATGCATCTAGACAATGGTAAAAATAAATAGGATGTAACAAGGAATGGAGCTGCTTGTCACAATACCTGTTCCTCATCCTTTTAAGAGCATGATTACATCTGTAACATACTATATTTAAAAAGAATTGCTAGGACTGCCAACCTAACAAAGGTTATGTAGAAGTGCATGTTTCCTTAAAAGGGGATCTGGGAGAAGAGTGAATGCCTGTAATCCAAGCATTACTGGGTTGAAGACAGGAGGATCAGAAGTTCCTAAAGGTGGCACACGCCTTTAGTCCCAGCACTCTGGAGGCAGAGGCAGGTGGATCTCTGAGTTCAAGACCAGCCTGGTCTACAAGAGCTTGTTCCAGGGCAGGCTCCAAAGCCACAGAGAAACCCTGTCTCAAAAAACAAAAACAAGTTCAGAGTTGTGCTTGGCTACAAGGAGAATCCAGTCAGCCTGGCCTACTGGAGACTGTCTCAGAAACAAACGAGAAAGATTGAGGCACATTCCTTACTCTACTCTTCTCTCCCCTATTCTTTTCCTTTTTCCTTTAATCATCAGATTTTAAATAATTTTTCGAAACATGCTTTGCAAATCATTTAACATGAAGCATAATTAACACTTTTCTTAAAAAATACACCTTTTGCCGGCACTTGGGAGGCAGAGGCAGGAGACCAGTCTGGCCTGGTCTTTGTAGAAGTTCTAGGACACACACAAGTATGCATGCATGCATGCATGCATGCATGCATGCGCTCACACATGCCAAGTATGGTGGCACTCACCTGAAATCCCAGCACTTTAGTGGCTAGGGGCAAAAGAATAATGAGTTTGAGGCAGCCTAGGCTACATAGCAAGATCCTGTTTCAAAAAGAAGAAAGTATGCCTGTTAAGGGAAAAGCAAATGTCTAATGAGTTTTCTAAATAAAGCATGTAAATATGAATAGAACAGAGAATGAGTGTAAAGAACTATTTACCTAAGTACTGTCAGTATGTAATAGAAACTTTAGTTTTGGGCCAGGGAACAGTACATTCTTGTACCCTCTTTTAAATACTGCTGATTCAACCAACTTCTGAAGGCATTGGTGTAAAGATTTCACTAGACCCAAGATAAATGATAAATGGGTGTTTATTGGGGAACAATTACACAGAAAAATACAAAGAACTACGGAAGCGATTCTCTGCCCTTCCTAGCTGATCGGCTGACCCAAGAGAAAAGACCTGCACAAGCAAGACCATGCCTTAGGCCTTAAGCTTCCCTCTTTCTGCTTCTGTCCACCTGAAGCCACGCCCAAATGGGTGTGGCCACCATTAGATGCAAGACCACTACAAACTTCTTGGGTGTTTCTCTATTACCTTGCCATACCTTGAAAAAAATAAAATTTCCTTTCAGACACTACCTTTACAACCTTGAAAGATGTAATTTTTTTAAAATTTCGCTTTTCATTAGTAATAAGTATACTAACATAGGAACCAGAGATTAAAACTGGTAAGTGTTTTTCAATAAAAATTGAAAATCAACAGAATGCAGAGTTATAGGATATTTCTACTGTGTATAGCCAAGCGTTTATATTCCTACCTGAGTCTTAAGAATAAGCTTTTTATACAAACTCAAATTATAGAGCTTCCAGTTTCTATAAATAAACAATGTATCTTTCTAAGACTAGTCTAATCTATGGATAACATTTAGTAGTAAAATTATTATGAATCATGAATTTGAGTATCATTTCTTTTATGATAATTTTATGATAATTATAGACCAGTTCTATAATTCCTGATTCTCCTGCCTCAGCCCTCCCAAGTCCTAGGATTGAGCTGCTATGTTTTATAAACTTAATTGTCTTTCATTTACATTTGTACCAAAGCTGCCATCTTGTTTTTAAATTGTCAGTGCTCAAAACAGTTTGTCGATACTGAGTTTGCTACTTCTTTTCTCTGTTACCTTTCAATGAAATTTTATGATTTGGATAAGGAAGAACATGTTTTTTCCCCAAAAATGTACATGTCTGGAAGTTTTTGCTTCTTTGGCAAACCCTTTTATGAGCTGGAAGAAGTTCATATTCAAGAACAGTATGGTTGTAGAGCACTTGCCTATCATATGCGAGGACCTGTGTTAGTATGTATATTAATATATGATGATATTAATATGATATTTCTGTTTCCATTTTACATTTCCATTCAATTATATTTTCCTTTTTTTTTTTTTTTTTTTTTTCCGAGACAGGGTTTCTCTGTGTAGCTTTGGAGCCTATCCTGGAACTCGCTCTGTAGACCCGGCTGGCCTCGAACTCACAGAGATCCACCTGCCTCAGCCTCTCGAGTGCTGGGATTAAAGGTGTGCACTACCAACACCCGGCTTATATTTTCCTTTTCTATGAGCTCACTCCCATCATCTATAACTATTTTAAGTGTCTCCAGATGACTAGAAGAAGTAACTATGGAGAAGATAGTAACTTAGAAAGAATATATTATATACAATTGACATTACTAGCAAATAAAATTATCTATACAAAGGAAAATTTTTTGTAATCATTAGATAGCATTAAGCAAGAAAAAACCAGACTCTTTAATGAAGAGCTTATAGTACTAATAGGTGCAGCAAATATATGTACATAAAACAATAATTTCACTTCTTCTGAATAATCTATGAGTTAGTCTACAGCCCCGCCCCCCCAAAAGCCTGAGTAAAGACAACTAAATGCATACTGAATAAAGACATGTTCTAAGGGATAAGGATGTAATCAATGAACATAATTCTCTAAATGTGCTGATAGATTGACAGGAAAATGGATGAAATGGCATTACTGTTTTGAGTGGAGCAAAGCATATGACTGACAGGTTTGTTTGTTGATGTGTTATCCTAGGAAGCAGTGACTGATAGCGATTAAGTGTTGCATCCCCTAAAAAAACAAAGAAGGATTTAATATTTTGGGGTCTTTTTTTGTTGTATTTCCTACCTAGGTATATATTTTTACTAAAGACCTTCATGGTAAATGTTTTTAGAATGAATGCATCACCTTATAAAATACATACTTTTAAATTGCAAAGGTAGTTACAGAAATTAAACTGGACAACCCATCTGAAAACACTTTTTAAAAATACACGAAACCATTAACACATAATAATTAACTTTGGTATGAGCAATGAATGACTTTTTAGTTTAAATTATTCTACGGTAATTTTATTTATACAATGAGAAGTTAAAAGTTTTGTGGGTGGCTTTTGTTGTTGTTGTTTTCTTTTTGTTTGCTAATTTGTTTTTATTCTTTTTTTAAAGACCCTGGTAAGATAGCCATTCTTTGCTTGAAATATCTGACCAATTGACTCCATTCCTAACTTCAACTAGACAGCAGATTTTTACTACTAGAAATTGTTTAACCTTGGAAATGTGTGAGGAAGCACAGGGTAATCTTGTTAGATCTTTTTAGGCAACAATTTTCTGTCCCATAAAATTAGGTAATCAGATTAATCTGTAATGTCTGTTATGTGGCTTCAAATATGAATATTTTTGTCATGAGAGAAAGCTTCACAGTGACTTCCCTTTCTCTAAAACTTAAATTCAGCAGATGGTTAATTAAATAATATTTGTGACTTCAGAAAGATGTTTCATGGAATCATTAGGACAGGACCTGGCATGTTTGATCCATTTCTTAGCTCTTAAATGTTGAACTCTCTTGGGTGGAGCATTGGGAGGAAGAAGAGGATTTGTGCCAGTAAACAAAATGACCTTATTACTGTCTGGTTGCTTACATAGAACATCTCTCTGCTGAACCCACTGATTTGGAATGATAAAAGTTCATGAGAGGAGAATTGATTTGAAAAAAATAATCAGCATGTTCTTTACTATTCCATTAGGAAAATAAAAATAAGACTAGATTTATTCAGCGATTTCCAGCTTTTAAGAGTGTTTGCTTTTACAAATAAAATATAGAACCTGTATCTGAACATATTGCCTAGCATATGTACATATTTCTGGTACTATATAAGAAAATATTCACCTAGCACACCTGTTTTTAACCTTTCTCTAACTTTTTAATTTATCCAAGTTTTGCATATGCATAAATTTAAATGGTAGTTAGTAGAAGCTTACCATAAGAAAAAAAAAATCAGAAGCAAGTCCATTCCATTCATTGGTCCATTTCTTGTGATACTTGCTTCATGTTCTTAATAATTAGGTGGTTATTTTTTATCTTTCAGTGTGGAATAGCTTCTTTTGGCTTTCTTATAAATGACAAGACAAACATGTCTTTGTTTTTTTTGAAATGGGGTCTCACTGTGTTGCTCTGGCTGTCCTGGAACTTGCTCTGTAGACCACGCTGGCCTGGAACTCACAGAGATCTACCTGCTTCTGCCTCCCGAGTGCTGGGATTAAAGGCATACGCCACCAACACCTAGCTCCATGTTTTCTAATTTTGTTTACTCTCTTTTTTTTTTCCGTTTTCTCTGTAGAAAAAAAAAATAGATCAGGGGTCAATAATTTAGTGAATGAATCAAGTTGAAAGAAATTTCCCTTTAGCCTCTCACCTCTGGTTATAAACTGTTTAATCTTAGAATATTGGAGATGGTGTTCCTCTGATAGCCATTGTTGATTATAGCTAGATTTATTCCACTTCCTGGATATTTTGTATACAGCCTGTTTTATTGTTACTAATGATCAATTTTGTTGGGTGAGAACTTTAGCTGTTTTGTTCTGTGATGCTGGCAATCAAGTAGGCTCTTGTTCTTACCACTTAGCTATATCCTCAAACCTTGTTTTGTTTTGCCTTCAGGAGGCTTGTGAAATCTTTTCAATGTCCACAAAAATACAGAATTCCATCTTGAGAGATGTGCAGAATTCCATCTTGAGAGATGTAGAGGAGGCAGAATCAGCAAGACTTGGGGTATGAGGTAGAGTAAAGGGTTAAGAAGACTCTGGGTTTCTTGTTTATTGACCAAGATTGCTTTTATCCAAGATAAGGATCAGAGGATTAGTGGAGCCCTTTATTATACTAAGCAGGGGAGGAGAAATAATGTGTTTGGTTATAAATATGCTAAGTTTGAAGGACCATCTGAATATTGTAGTGAAAGTTCCCAAAAGAGTTGAAAATGTGAGTTTGAGGCTCAGAAGAAAGCAATCTCATATTAGAATCCAGACCATATAGCAGCCTTACAGCTAATTTAAATTGGGCAATTAATAGGAATGCCAAGACAGCACAGAATGGAAAGAAGTCTAAATGTAGAACTCTGGCACATATATTGGAGATTACACTAAGAAGACAGAGGAGAGCTTTTACATAGTAACTGTTCCACTTGGGGTTATTTAATGCTTGAGATCCCTGAATTGCAAGAGGTAACTATGTTCATTGTGTATAATTAATATTAAGTGTCAGTATTGCTCTAGAAGATCCTTAAGGACAAAACATAATATATAAGTATAAAAATAAAATTTATTTGAGCTCTTACTCTTTAGAAGACATATTGAAATGGCCGGCAGGTACAGCATTCATGAAAACAAAATGATCAGTAGGATAGAGTAAGTTGGGGTGTTTGAAGAAACTGCAACCTATGAAGTAAAACATCACTGCCTAGTTGCCACGCCCCATCTCCTTGCATTATTTTCACAATGTGAGATTTTCTTCAGAACAAGGTTGCAGTGTTTTCCTTTCATTTTCCCTTTCCATCTTGTTCCGTACTCTTTATTATTGACAAGAGATTATTGTCAAGGGTAAAGTTTATTTGAAAATTTGTATTTAAATTTTATTAAGTGGTCTCATAAAATTATTTTCTTGGAAAAGATTGTTCCAGTTGCCCTGTACAATAGATCAGTAGCATCTTCTTATACTTGGTAGAGTGCCCTATGACTTCTTAACAAAGTACTCAACATTTTCTATCTAGAAACAATTTTTGAGATTTGGAATACTGGAAATGGCTACCTCTTGGAGGACTGTAAAGTTAAAAAAAATCCAGTAGCATGTGGTCTTGATCGAGGTTCATATTTGAGCTCCTACTGGGCCACGTTCAGGACAGTTCCCTTGGTGCTATGAAGGGTACCAAGATAGAGTACATTGGGAAAGCCAGACAAATTAAAAGAAAAAGTAAGGAACTGGATATTAAGCCAAAATAAAGGTATAATGTCAGGTCATGTGTGGTGGTTTGAATGAGAATGGCTCTCATAGGCTCATATATGTTTGCATACTTGGTCCCCAGTTGGTGGAGTTGTCTGGGAAGGAATAACAGGCATGGCCTCTCTTTCTCTCTGGCCTCAGTGTGCTCTTTGCCTCCTTTTTGGACTGAATGTGAGTGTTAAGATGTTCCTGCCACCATGCCTTTGCTTTGCCATCATGGATTCTAACCCTCAAAAACGGTAAGAGCATTTGAATACTTCATTTTGTAAGGCGCCTTGGTCGTGGTGTTTTATCACAGCAATAGAAAAGTAAAACAAGTGAAGCACAGTAGAGAATGGTTGATTCTTATGACACCACTGGGGGAAATTGAAAGGGAAGAGTATCATTTTACCTGAGTTATCAGCATGGGAAGGATTTGATTAGCAGAAATAGGCTAGGAATAACTTCCCCTGGTGTCAAAAAGGTTCGTGAAGCAAAGTTGGAAATCCTTTTGACCAATATTATAGTTCGTGTCTGAGTAAGATTGTTGAGGCTGGTAAGAAAACTATGGATACTCTCTATTGAATAACTGAGCCAAAGGTATCACTATTACTGTTATTATTGCTTTTTAAAGACAGGGTTTCTCTGTGTAGCCCTGGCTGTCTTGGAACTCACTCTGTAGAAGAGTCTGGGCTCAAACTTAGAGATCCACCTGCTTCTGCCTCCCAAATGCTGGGATTAAAGGCAGGTGCCACCACAACCTGGCCCCAAATTGCTTTTTTTTTTTTTTATGTGATGTGGGAAGACCCACCTTTTTGATTTATTAATTTTTATTTTATATGCATTGGTGTTTTGCTTTTGGCGTCAGGTCCTCTGGAACTGGAATTACAGACAGTTGTGAGCTGCCATGTGGGTGCTGGGAATTAAACCCATGTCCTCTGAAAGAGTAGTCAGTACTTTTAACCACTGAGCCATCTCTCCAGACCCACAAATTACTTTTAGTACTTAGCAACTTAAGTTTATTTACTGATGTTTCTTTCACATATGATGCATGCAGGGGAGCTTATTTATTAAATTTGAAAGCCTGTTGATCAGTTCCCTGGCCCAGAGTACCAATAATTGTGTCTGAGTGGATAAATCCATATTTGTCTCCAAAATTCCAAAGCACTTGTTTCCTGTGGGTTTCATCCATACCCCCAAACTCACCCCCACCCAGAATGTAAGAACATTGAGATGCATGCAGAGAAACAAATTTAGTCTTTATTAATGTTTGTTCTGTAGGGTAATTTTTGTGTAGCATTGTCTCTATTTCAATGTTTGGCTCTTCTTACTAAGAAAACAGTCTGCTAAAGTATGTCCAGTTTAATGTGTCTGCCATTGGTTGTGCTTCTCACATTGCTGCTGAGAATAGGAGTTTTGTTGTTGCTGCTGCTGGAGTAGGTTTTGTTTGCTTAACCATGGTTATGCCTCTGCACTATCTAAAAGCTCCCTTGTTGCCTACACAGCAGTTCAAGTTGTGCAGTGTGGTGTGCAGTGATCCCGCCACCAGCACATCTCCAGTCTTGTCATTTAAATTTACAAGCTGTCATTGTTGTCATAGCTTGTAGTCAAAAGTTTTTAACTTTTTGCTCAGTTTTGCAGGTCTACCTACGTAGAACTCTAAGCACAAGCATAAATTAATTGATGCTCATCATTGTGCCCCAAAGTTGACCTCTAGGAAGTGTCCTCCTTTCAAGCACAGTAAAGTGCCTCCTTCCATACCTTCCATTCCTGAGGGTTGTTGTCTAGGAATCAATGAGGTTTTTCTGGCTTGAAGAATGGGGCATGAGGTGGTCAGTCCAGTTGATCCACCTATGATGTGTCTTTATTTCACTCCATCCCAGTTGTCCCCACTGGAGATTCATTTGCATCCTCACATATCTTCCAGGCAGTTGGCAAATTGTAAATGTTTCTCCTGAAGACAAAATCAGTCTCTAGCTGCAAGTTCCTCCTCTAGCTGCCCACCCTGTTGCTGCCCAGGGTTTTATTCAGCGTTTTTCTCTGAGGACATTACTGGGGGAATTTCTTAGAGGTCCATTGTTTGAATAGTCTATGTCTTGAACTAATAAATACTACTCTCTTCATTTGTAATATTATTCAAAACTTTAGAAAATGTGATTCAACGTTTTATTTAAAAATTCTGTTTTTTTTTTTTTCCAACAAAGAAATTTAGGTCATTTTGATATTTAGTAGCCCATGGTGGTAGCATATGTCTTTAATCCTAGCACTAGGGAGGGGGATCTCTGAGTTCAGCCTGGTCTACAGAGCAAGTTCCATGATAGCCAGGGATACACAGAGAAACCCTGTCTCAAAAAACTAAATAAAATAAAATTTTAAAAAGTTAGCTGGGTGTTGGTGGCGCACGCCTTTAATCCCAGCACTTGGGAGGCAGAGGCAGGCAGATCTCTGAGAGTTCGAGGCCAGCCTGGTCTACAGAGCGAGTTCCAGGATAGGCTCCAAAGCTACACAGAGAAACCCTGTCTCGAAAAAAAAAAAAAAAAAAAAAAAAGTTCTTATTTGTTTTTTGAGACAGGGTTTCTCTGTGTAGCTTTGTAGACCCAGCTGGCCTCTAACTGACAGAGATCCTCCTGCCTCTACCTCCCGAGTGCTGAGTTTTAAAGTTGTGTGCCTGCCACCACTGCCCAGCTAAAAGATAAGTTCTTTGTCACTTAGTATTTACACCTACTGACTTCTAGCCAGTCCTGTATATATAGTGCAGTGGATAAGACTTGCTGCCAAGCCTGATGACCTGAGGTGGATCTCCAGGACCCACATGGTAGAAGGAAAGAACACACTCCTACAGATTGTCTTCTGACTTCCATATGTGAGTTGTGACACACAGGCCCCCTCTTACCATTACACACACAAACTAAATAAATAAATAAAATTTAATGTGTTTATTTTGTGTGTGTATATGCTTTCGTATACTATGGAACATTTGGAAGGGTCAGACAACATCTTGAAAAGCGTCAAGCTTGATAGAGAGTATCTTTACCAACGTGCTGGCCTTTATCACATTATTTCAATAGTATGTGCTGTGCTCTGATTTGCAACTGTTGATGCTGATCTGCATCACTGGCTAAGAAAGTGTCTGTTGGGTCTCTCTACTCTAAATGGACCGCTCTTGTCCTCTCAATGTACTGCAACCTTCAAAAGGAAATCACTGTTTACAGACCGCATTTATATTTGAGGGATTGTAGATATTCTATTATCTTGAGATCAGAGAATCCACATACACTATTCTTAATTGTTCTGTATTTTCTTCCCATTTATGTGTTTGTCAGTGTGACCTCATGAGTAATTATGTCATACTCTGACATAATTTTTTGTTGATCAAATTGTCTATTGGGGCCATTTAAGGCTCTTTTGATTAGTTCCCGTGCCCCACTGCACATATTTCACTATGGCAGACTCTGGTTGGTTTTGATTTTTAGAGCATTTCCTTACTTTCTGTACTCTGATACTCAGAGATAATCTTAAGAATGTCTTGCCTCAGTACATTTCCATCAAAATATTTCAAATATTTTCTGTTTGCTTTGTGCTTCTCCAGCTCTCCTGAATGTCTTGGTTTTTGATTGAAGAGACAGTTGTGCTTATCTTTTGGAAACCAAGACTCCTATGAGATGATTAAACTAACTCGTTATATTATTTACCTGACATTTGTCATTTATACACAAAACAAATACTTCAGGTCCTTACATTCCTCACTTACCTGTGTGGAAGCACCTACCATTTGGTAGGCAGTGTGCTGGATGTTCAGTGGGTAGTTCCCAGTCTAGTGAGGACACAGTCATCCTTCAGGCATAAGTGCTGAAGTAGAGGTTAGCTTGCTATGCATTAAAGAAGGACAACTTCTTGATATTTGAAGGATGATATTAATCAGCCAAATAACATAGGGAACACTAAATAAGGCAGGGCGGTAATGGGCTGCTGGAATAAAACATGCAGCTTATAACAAAGAATATGGCACTTTGGAGGTACAACAAAGAGTTCATTGCAACTGGAGCGTAAAATGAGGTGAGAGGTGAGCATCAGCATAGAAACCAACATGAAAGGCCAAACACCTTTGTGTCTGTATTAGTAATTTTTCAGGCACTGTTGGGGGGTTTTAAAGCATAAGAGCAACCACTTTTGTTAGCCTTGTAGACAGTGAATTAAAGCAGCTAAGCAACCAGATGAGGAATCCATTCCAGTAGTGTAAGAGATCAGGGGAGTGGTCACAATGATGAAATAGAATGTAGGAATTGAAGGAGGTGAAAAGGAAGTAGACTGAACAAACCTTATCAACAGATGAGTGTGAGGCGGAGAGGACTGGTGACCAGTGAAACGGTGACTAACAAATAGATCTCACCTATACAAACCTGACAAGTAAGGTACTTTCGAAAGTAACTTCATCAAATCTAGCAATGGTTTATTGACGAAATAGTACATGTGAATATCAAATACTGAATAATTCCAGGATATCATATGCTCAAGTTCTCAAAAACAGAACTAAAGAAACTAGCACTAAATGTACAGAATTTTTTTCCAAATAAGATATGTTCTCTGCTGGCACAGATAGTATAATTATTGTACAACAGCCCAACTTTATCTATTTTGCCAGTGCCTCTGAAAAAAAATATTTTCTTGCATTTCCTGGCAGTGATAAGCTGGTGGTTTCTATTACCACTGGCAGAAATAATGATGTTATGATACATTGGCATGCAAATAGCTCTAAGTTTAGTACTTGGAAAGATCACAAATGTTTTGGCTTTGGTTATATGTTAGTCTGTACAAACACGTTGACTTACTAATGTCACTATAATATTGTACTTATTTTCTGTGTTAATGATAAGTATACCTTAAAGGGTTCTAGTGACTAGAATATACTCTAGCTTCTGATTGAATCTGGTCATTCTTAGGAAATATCTCAGCATTTCTTTAAAGCTGCAAATGCTAGCCCATTTTGTAGATAAGAATATTAAAATAGCCAAACCCTAGGGTTTTTTGTTGTTGTTTGTTTGTTTGTTTGTTTTCAGTAGTTAATCTGGTAGTATTTAAATGTACTTTGAAAATTAACCTCCATTAATTAAATATCTTTTTTTTGTGGTAGGGCCTACCTTCTGTTTTCCTGGAAAAGATGGAATTACATCATTTGAACCTAAAAAAAAAAAAAAAATATTGAAATAGCAACTTAGATGTATTGCCTCAAACCTCCCAGTCTGATAATGTATGTCTTTCA